GTTAGAACCGAGGCAAGTATTGTTGTTCGAGTCAGTGTCAGAGTACGTATCTCCGGTGGCTTGGGTGGACTCAGGAGCACAAGAATCATAGAGGAAATGCAACGGTTTATCCTAGTTCAGATCGATCGGTGCCCTACGTCCAAAAGCTGATGATCCTTATACTCAAGAGCATCCAAAATCGGGGGTTACAACAGTGTATAGAGAGATTTGGTAGGGGTTAGCTCAGTGCTAATCCTAAGGTTGGCTCGCAGCCGGTGGAGCCTTCCCCTCATCGGAGAGGAGGAAAACGATGGATGTAGCGGAGGAGCTCTCGGTGCCCCTCTCTGGGTTGCCCCTGCCCTCGGTGCTGAGCAGGAGCAGATCGAATGAGGAGTGGAATGATCTATCTCGGCTCCTCTCCCTAAGGTCTGACCTTATCCCTTATATACCGAGATAGGTCAGGTACATGGCGGTTTGGGGAGAAGTGTCTATGGTCTACATGCACCGGAGTCTAGGAGGGTCTTGCAATGGTGCCCCATGGACCGTGGTGGTGTCGTGGAGCCAAAGAAGCCTTAGACATTGTCCGGCTGCTCTGTTTTGACACTCTGCATGTCAGGCTGTGTCGGTTTGGACTGGCCTCACCCTGGTGGATCTTCTGGAGTCTTCTTGGTGGCAAAGGAGGTTGGCTCGAGGGGCTGACATGCAGGGCCCGAGAGCCGCCCAGCCCCTGGAGGCCGAGGGGACTTGTCTTCTTGTGTCACGCCCGTGCGTGACCCTGTCGCGGGAGTGGCTGACAAGGCCGCAGCCGGAGTGCAGCGTCTGGGAGCCCCCGAGCCTCGATGGCTCGGGGCTTGTCTTCTTGCACCCAGCCCTTGGCTGGTGTCGTAGGCTAGGACGGAGCTAAGGGCCAAGCACGGGCATGTCATCGATCGAGAGCCTAAGGCTCTAGCGAGCCCTCGAGCCCTAAGCGTGCCCAGGCTCGGCCAGGTCTCTTCGGTCGGGAACCATTGATGCCGAGGCTTAACATACCATATGTTAGGATCTCGTCACATGGTTACTCATTGAGGTGGCCATCTTGCTACATTGGTCGTGGTTGAATGGCTGAGAACTTGATAAACCTCTTATGTTATGCTTGTGGACTATATCTGTGAATCTCTTGTCATGGTGGTGATGCCATCTTGAATACCTTGCATATATATGCTTGTCTACTTATTCTGTGATTGGGAGATAAGGCCAAGATACAGGGGAAAACTCTGCCTAAATTTTCTGATGAGATAAAGGATAAAGATTGCCTCCAGATGATGAAGAGATTGGGATTGCTACCACTCTCTCGACTATCATATCGTCGCGACACACTACGCGTAGTACGACTACAGAAGACGACTCCTCACTTGGGTTATCCTATCATTCCCGCCCTAGGTTATCATTTGCAAAACTATCAAACTTATTTTGTTTCCAAAATCTTTTAAATAATTAACCTCTAATTGACCTAGGTGAGAGGCTAGAATGGACTAACTAGGAAAGAGTTACTATTAACCTTTAGTGTTTAGCTCTAGCTATTAGAATTCCAAAATTTTACCCAATTTCTCGAGTGTTATGCATTAGTCAATGAAGGCTTAGTAAGTGGATTACACATGCAAGTCAACCATTGCTCCGATACCTGTCCGCCCCTATCGCACGCACCGTGTCTAGAAAGACTACAGTGTTCAGAAAAGTTACAGATGAACATCTCGGTAATCTCTGCGCCAAGGTTGGCGATTTTGGGGAAACTCTTTGACAACATTCCTAGGCTTCAGTTTGGCATCACATTTCTTCAGGTATGTGCACCATTTGTTCTCACTTTCACCGGCTTGCACAAGGGATCCAATTTAAGTCCCTTCTCTTGATCATGATGTGCTAATTCTATGCTTATCAACTCAGGGATTGACTGTTGTTAGCATGGCTGCTGCAATACGCAGTGTGAAGGTTCTATCTTTATCTGGTGTGAAACTCTGTTTGCATACGGCTATTAACTTACTGAAGTGTTTCTCCCAATTAGAGAAGTTGTACATCAAGGTGACTCCCTGCACCATGACCAAAGTGTGCATATTTACTATTTATATATCGATGATTGTTTTAAAGCTAGGTTGACCATTGACACTATATCTCTATTCACTTCCCTTTTCAGGCGACAAGTGTTTGTGTGGAAAATGCTTGGTATCAAACGAACCCGGAACGTATTGGCAGCCTTGACATCCGTTTGAGGAAAAATGTGCTGGAAAACTATCAAGGAAGCAAATCACATGTTGACTTTGTCAACTTCTTTTTATCAAATGCGGGAGTGTTGGAGTCACTCGAGTTAGGAGTTAGAAACATTATTACCAACAAGTGGATCGCAAGACAACATAGCCTGCTCAACATAAAGAGTGCTTCGAGGGGTGCACGGGTCGATTTTTGTGTCCCATAAAAAACATAAAGAGTGCTTCAAAGAGTGCACGGGTCAGCACATGACCTTCTGCATGCTAAGCAAGTACATGATCTGTGAAATGACCATTTTCAAAGGTTTCATTAGTAGGTCTAATGACATCAATAAAGACATTTGGCTTTTAGCTTTGACGATATTTAGTGAGGTTAGTCATTTTGCAGTGTGTTGGCATTTGTTATCTCTGTCCTCAAATACTATGATTTATGAACTGATTTTGTGGTGGTGCTATATTTCCTTTAAAATAGAGAAGGACTCTTGAGATGTCCATTTTAAGATGCTATGGTCATCATAAAATAAAGTATAGTTTTTAAATTTTATAAACAAATAAAATAAATAGATATGTAACATTGTGATCCTTGTTTCCATTAACAAGACCGTTCATTTGTGATTGCTACAGCAACTACTTACAACATCAAAAGTAGCACCTATACAAATTAAGGTGTCACGAGTGCTGCAGTTGTACAACAAGATGAAGCGATTAGGTTGGACATTTGATAGATTTTTTTTCTCTTGTTGCAACGCACGGGCATTTTTGCTAATACTACCAAAGAGTCTTGTATATAAATTCATTTGTCTTAATTAAAAGGCAGAGCTCCTGCCATTGTTTCAAAAAAATACTACTAAATAGTCTATAAGTTAAACGGATGGAGTAACACAATCTTTTTGGAGGAGTAAATCGGTTTCAATTCCACTTAGAAATCACTAGGAACCCTAGTAAACAAACACAAAAGAGATTAGTTCCGGCTAGAAACAATTATTAGTTTTTTTACTGGGGATTAGAATCGACAGATATGTAGTTTCTTGTGATTAACATTCTTTCTTTCCTACCCCTCTAACCTAGAAAAACTTTTAGTGGCCTTCTAGTGTAATCATTTAAAATAAGTCACATGTGAATCGTTCTTCACCTACAAAGAGCTTCAATTTTTTTGTAATTTCCCTAATTTCTTTCATGTAAAACAATGTTTATGCCTTTCTTTCAAGAAGACAGACGGTTTTAGAAAATGACTATAATTCACTAAGGAAATGCGGATACCTGCCAAATGCAAATCCAACATTTTTCAATTAAATTCTTGTCTAAAGGCTCAACCAAAAGCTCAAGTAATTCGTGGCAAACATTTTGAGAAAAAAAAAAAGATGGGTCTAAGTCTAAACCACGAATGACATGGTGTTTGGTTTGAAGAATGATTCAATCTAAAATGGAATGATGTACCATGAGGTCATTCTATGAGTTTTAGTGGAATGGACTTTTTTAGTTTGAAGAATGACTCAATCTAGAATGGAATGATGTACCATGGGGTCATTCTATGAATTTTAGTGGGATGAACTATTTTTTGGAAGGTGGATGAACCTTTTTTTGGGGTCTTAAGACAATCGTGGACTTGTGAGGTATGATGTGGTAACATATCAACCCATTCTGCTCACAAACGAAAAAAAAAAAATTGAATGAGAAGGTGGCAGATCAGTTCATTCCCAAACCTAATGCACCCCTTAGGCCATCCCCAATCTACAATGGTAAGAATCAGGTGCTGGTTTAGATGACAAATCTCATCTTATATGGTCCACATGAAAATGCATTTTTTTATTCTATACATTCTCTCTTCCTTCATCTATGCAAGAGACACATAGAGAAGGTATGTGACGAAGAGATCACTCGTTTAGGTACTCATAAGTCATAACACTCCTTCAAGTTGATACCCAACGGCTAATTACTAGAGTTCGAGCATAATAGTAATTAAATTTCTAGATAAACTCATCCTAAGTACTCATTTTTGTGATTATAAAAAAATACCACCTAATGATAGTTCAGACATGAAATTAAGCCAAAAAGTAAAATCTAAGGACCGAGGGCCTGTTCGGTAGGACTGAAAAATACTGTTCCGGCTGATTGTTGTGAGAGGAAAATACTGTTCTGTCTGGACATGAATAGTGTTTCTGTGAGTGAGCTGGCCAGCCGGGCTCAGCCTAGCCAGCCAGCCGAACGCTCCCCGAAACAGCCAATTCTGTTTTTTTTTTTTAAATGTTTAAATTTTGCGCCCAATAGAAACATACACGTCTTAAGACCAAATCAAGGGGGGTATATATACTAGAGATTAGAGAAGACAAGCTTTGTGTTGCATCTGACGAACCTGCCCTGAAACTTTGGGCGAAACAAAACTTTGCAATACATCAGGCAGTCGCTTTCTTCTATTCTTTCATAGACCGCAGTTGAAAAGTTCAGTAGTTCCAGTTGAGACCATGCAGTCCTGACTCCCCCGCCCTTCTGTATCGGCGGCTTCCTCGCGCCTTCGTCTCCGGGCCCCGCCTCTGCATTAGAAAAACTCCCGGCAGTTCGAGCTCAAACGTCACCACGAGGAACGAGGTCAACGACCTAGCTAATCACCCATCCATCCCGCTCAGCGCGGCGCTCATCGGATCCGCCGCAATGTTATGTTATTATAAGGAAGCTGCTGTTGTAGCAGCGACGGATCGTCATCTTCCCCCAACTCCATAGCGTAGCAGAGGGAGCCTTAGGCTTTAGGCCACGCGAGTCCAGAAACACGAGGCGGCGGCGGTGGCTATGGGCGGACATGGCCACCCGTACTCGCCGGCGGAGCTGGAGCTGCCAGGGTTCGTGCCACAGCGGCTGTCGCAGGGCCAGATCCTCGCGCCTTTCGTGGGCACCGCCGTCTTGGCCGTCCTCGGCGCCTGGCTCATCTCCGGTAACTAACTCCGTCCACTGCCTCCGCTGCTTCAGATGATCCTCTGCAGTCTGCACAGATCCCGATCGGTGAGGGTGATTGCATTGCATGCGCTTCGCAGGAAGATGCGGCGGCGGTAGAATATCCAAGACCGACCGCCTGCTCATGGGTTGGTGGGTGTTCACCGCGCTGACTCACATCGTCTTCGAGTCACCCTTCCTCTTCACCCCTGATTTCCTCAGCAAGAAAAACCCAAATTACTTCGACGAGATGTGTGAGTTCTCCGGCGCCGCTACGACCCCAGATCGCTGTGCCAATTGGCTAGTTGTAGTTTTGAAATCAGATATAGTGTATTATTGTTTTTTTTAAGGTCGTGTATCATTGTATGACTGACCAATGACAGAGCAAATGCAAATGCTGTTTCAGTTAAAGAGTACAGCAAAGGTGACTCCAGATACGCCTCTCGGAACACCGCAGTCCTCGCACTTGAAGTGATAACGATCGGGTTGAAAGGCCCTGCATCACTTCTTGCAGTGTAAGAGCAGAGCTGATTCGTATCTCTTTCCAAGCACGCAAAATTGGTCACTTTAAGTTATTTTTCCTAATAGTAGAATGTGTAGTTTAAATATATAGATTCATAGGGTCACTACTACTGTTCCTCGTAGTGGCAGAGGTGTGGATATTTATTTGCAAAACATAATTAAGCCCATTAATTCATATGAAAGAACTAAAAGAAATAATAGTAAGATGAGTGGCTTATTTGTTCTATGTAACCACATGCTTTGCTTGCTGCTTGCAACTATGCGATTGCGTCCCGGAAGTCGTACAGCCACATCCTCCAGTTCGCCGTCTCTTTGGGCCAGCTATACGGATGCTTGCTTTACTTCATCACCGCGTACTTGGATGGCTTCAACTTCTGGGTCAGTCCGTTCTACTTCTGGGCTTATTTCATCGGTTCGAACAGTTCATGGGTGATCATACCAACTCTCATTGCAACAAGGAGCTGGAAGAAGATTTCGGCAGCATTTCAAGCTGAGAAGGTCAAGACCAGATAATCCTGCATTCCTGTGTGGCTGTGTCCTGCCGTGCGTTTGCCACAGCTTGGAAGTTTATTTGGAGGTACTGTACAATGCATGCTGTACAAGAATGGGCAAATCATGATCATTTGTTCCTGAAACTGGGATTCTTGTGTTCTTGGTCAAAGTAAACCTGTACCTTTGTGAAACTGTACTGTTTTGCCCCTTTTTTGTGCAGTCAGTCATATGCAATGGTCTTATTTCTTTTTGAGCAAATTGGCATGTGCTCTGCCGTATCACAATGGTCTTATTTTGAGCCTGGTGTGTTCAGGTCAAACAGCTGGATTGTGACTGTACCAACTCACACTGTGGCATTTGATTTGAAGCTGCCCCTTTTGTTGTGCCATATATTTTTATATATATATATATATATATATATATATATATATATATATATCACTAGTAGAGAAACGACCTTTGATCCTGCCTCGAAATTTGGCTTTAGTCCCGGTATTTTTCGCACCCGGGACTAGAGAGACCTTTAGTCCCGGTTTGTAGCTCCAACCGGGACTAAAGGTCCCTGTCCAACGGCTACTGCGGCAGGCTTTTGCTGCAGGGGACCTTTAGTCCCGGTTGAAGCTACCAACTGGGACTAAAGGTTAACTTTTACTCCCGGTTGGTCCCTCCGACCAAAGTCTACTCCCGGCTGGAGGCTTCGTCCGGGACTAAAAAGGGACCTTTAGGACCAGGACTAAAGGTCCCTCAACTCGGTTAAATAGTGGACGGGCCACTCACATCCATCTCGGCCTGACAAAAACAGCGCAGCGCATCCCTCAATCCCCCCATCTCCCCATCTCCTCTCCCTCAATCGCGCAGCGCATCCCTCCTCTTCCTCCGTCTCTCCCTCCCTCCCTCACTCCTCTCCCTCCAGAGCGAGTAGCGGCCCCCCTCCCTCTCCTCCTCCGGCCTTGGGGTGGTGGTGGTGGCACGCCAGTCTTGGGCGACCCCAGCCCCCTCCTCCCTCTCCAGCGGATCTGGGCGCCGTGCGGCCCCAGGCCCCCTCCTCCCTTTCTACCAATGCGGCGGCGGAGGCACACCGGGCGCGGGGCAAACCCCGGCCCCTTCCTCCCTCTCCACCGGATCTGGGCTACCTCACGGCGTCCCTCTCTCCCACGGCTCCTCAACAGCGCGCGGCTCCACCTAGGAGGGCGAGATCCAGTGGAGGACGGAGCCATCGGCTCAGGAGCTACAGACCTGCGAGCTGCGGGGATGCCGGATCCGGTGGCCGTGAGGCCAAATCCGGTGGCGGGGAGGCCGGATCCGGTGGTCGTATGGCCTGATCTGGTGGCGGGGAGACCGGACCCAGCGGCGAGCGACTGCAGCGGCGGTGCCCCGTGGATGGACTCGCTGGGAAATAGGTTTCTATATTCACTGTCTAGATTGGCACAATGTTCCCTAAATCTTATCCGAACTCTCAACGGTGGATGGACTCGCTGGAAGAAGATTTCTATATATATGCCTTGTCATTATAACGGAAACGGAAAGCAAAACCACAACATGATTATTATTATTTTTTTAAAAGTCCACCACATGCCTAATCTTTATCCATTATTGATTTAGGTTTTAGCTACTAATTACTCTATAGGGTTTTCGATTCATGGTTTTTTTCTGTCACATCACACCACAAAGTGTTTCTGACGTGTCTAGTTCAAATCTAAGCTTGATTTATGTGTTTAACAGGTAAATTGGTATGCTCATCATTTCCTTCATACACGAATATGTGGATTGCATGAAGTCCAGTTGATTAGGTTACTTATAGCGGAACTTGCTCACTCGAGTTCTTGTCTTAAATCAACCTATATTGAGTGCTCACGTTTTTTGACTAACTATTTTTTTAGTAGTAAGCGACGTGCTAGTTCACAGAGTGCCTGCTTTGTCAATCTCAAAATCTATATCCAATCTTTCATAGACGTTTTGTTAGGGGTAAGCTGAGCTTACGTGCATGACTTTGTTGGGGTGAATGCACATTCACATATATCTGTATCATGTTTCAAAAAAATTATATACTTGATCATAAAGTGACATACATAATGCATGTATATCTTGAGTTAGTATATTTTATATTAACATAGTTGGTAATTTAGAAGCATATGCAATAGTGTGTTGTGAATTTTTATTGGCCTGTTCGGTTGCAGAAATAGGCTGTTGTTGTTGCGGCTGCAGCTTCTCTCTCTCTCTCAAATCGCTACAGTGACAGCAACAGCAGCTTATTTGTGCGGCCGAACACCCACATAGGGCTAGATATAGTTAATATGCATATATTTTGAATAATTAATTGTATCATGACACAGTTTATCTTGCTATAGTGTAGAACATAATCTATATATAATGTTTTTAGCTGGCCAATCTTATAACATCAAATTAAGCGCAATGTTATGGAGAAGGTGAAAAAATGATCTTCAGGAAGTAGCCATGCTCTCTGCCGCTATATCAGCCTGCGACCATAGACCAGCACAACTGCCCGCGTCTTGGCTCTCCGTATTCCATAATAAGAACGTTCTCAAGGAAAACTTGCTGAAGCTCATGTCTAGTTCCTGAACTGCAGGCCAATCACCTCGATGTTCTAGGAAAAAAAATTCTCTGCGACGGCGTTGCAGAGCGACTGGCGTGTAACACCCCTCCAGCGCGTGACACGCGTCCCGCTGGTCTTCATCAAGATGCTTCAGCTGCTAGAAAGGTACAGTTTGATGAAGTATCAAATCCTGCAACATTGGAGTAGTCATGCTTTTTAGCAGATGAATTCTTAATATGACTTACTGTACTGTTTTGGTCTTCGATTCATACAAGTGAACTTTCATTTGTGATCCATGCTCTCCGGTGACATGAAAACATATTTATTTATGATATCAAGAATATGTTCAGATACAATAGTGAAGCCATCAGTGTTGAAGTCAAATGACGCTGTTGGTCCCTCGGCTTCCCTGCAAAGGTAAGCAGTAAGCTTACCAGCACACTGACTCACTATGGCTAGAGGTAAAGAAGATATTGAGAACAACTCACACACACAGCATAAGCCCAGCGCTGGCTGAAAGCTGTAACACCCTCGGTGTTACACCCTAAATCATTTACTAAAATATGTCATGAGCATCATGTTTATGTGTTAATGTATGTGATAGAATGTGTAGATCAATTTCTTGTAACTTAAAATGACTAATAAAAATGTTAAACGAAAGTTGATTCAATAGTTCATGTATATTAAGTAGGGTTTAAAACTAATTTTTATTAAGCGAATATACTATAGAACATGTGTGTGATACTTAAATAAAGTTTGAAGTACAAACTTTATAGATGACAGTGAAATACTTGTTGTTGAAAAATAATATTGTTAGCTAGTATTTCTACTAGACTAGAAATTATAAATTGAAATCAAGTTCAGCTCAAAAACTTAGAAAATTTTTAAGTTTGTCAACAGCTAGACATTGCTATGTTTAGCAAATTATTTTAAGAGATTGGGTTAAGGGGTGGTGTAGTGTTATAGCTCGATTTGCTAGTCCCATATGCCATCTTGAGCATGGTGAAGATGGTTTGGCTTCTGAAGCAACCGTTTAGTTGTTTTGGGCGCTTTAAAATTCGTGCACGACTCGGTCTCAGGTTGATTGGTCGCGTGGGCGCGGTCACCACGCTCGGGCGTTCAACGTCGCCGCGTTGGTCAGCGCGATGCTGCTGTGCTACTGCCGTGCCGCCGTGGCGCCTCTCGCTTGGCTATGGCCCGGCCATGGCCCATCGCTTGCCAGCAGCTAGCCGCCGCCGCTTCGCCGCGCCATGACGAAGCCATTGCTGGCGCTATCACCTTGCCGTCGCGTCCGCGCACTGCTACCTCGCCGCCTTTGTCGACCCGATCGCGCAGCGACGCCGCCATCGCTGTCGATCGTCGCCGGCGTCGCTACCGTCTGGTCTGTAACCTCGGGCGCTACCGCCAAGTTCAAGTTCGCCACCTTGCCGCCGCGACGACGTGGGCCGAGCTCGCCGTCGCCTTGTCATTTAAGACCACTACGGCCGCGCAGGCCACGCCGGTCGGAAACGCGTGCGCCTGTCTGCTAGCACCTGCGCGTGGGTCTCCATGATCTCATCGACCGCATCCTGCTAAGGCGAGGTCGAGCCGAGCCCACCTGCCATGCCCCGTCTCTCTCTCTCTCTTTCTCTCTCTACTGTCGCCACGAGCCGCGCCATCTAATTTACCCAGCGAACGATCACCTCTATTTAATTCATCATACCCACGGCTTCACCATCATGTCCTATCGCTGCCCGACTCTACCCAGCCTTGAATCGTGCCCGACCAAGCTCCAATTTTGGAGTTTCCCTGCCGCCATGCCGATAAGGTCGTGTCCGGTCGTGGATGTGGGTAGCTCTCCTATCGTCCCTCCCGAGCCAATTCACTTGCACCACTAGCTTCACCTTGCCTCCCTATCCACCCTGGTGCGCCGTCGCACGACTAGGCCGCACGTGGCCAGCCCTCCTTCGCCATCCTCCACCCCAACCATCACCTCAGCTAGGTCCATGGTAGTCTACTGATGCTCCCTCACTAGCTAGTTAGGTTCTTAGGTACTCTAGATCGTCGGGGCAGCTGCGCCGCTGTCTTGGACGGTCGCGCGTCGCTGCAGCTCGCTCCAGCGTGTCCCACCACCCCTCGTCACCGCTTATCGTAGCCGCTCGGGTCAGAGATGGTGATCAACCCGTTAGGTGAACCTACGCAGGTCCCAAGTGGCCGGCGTATGCGCTCAGTGCCGCCGCTCTCCATGCCGCCGTGCACTAAGTTGTCGGGGGTGCGCACGGGTGAATTAGAGAAAAGTCAGGGGGTTAAGTGAGAAGGTTTGAGAGAGGGGGAAATAGTGTTAGTACTTAGTTGTAATTTTAGAGAAGTGCGAGGTCTATTTTGCAAAAACATCAGCGCGCGCGGAATTTCCTTGTCGCGGGTCATCTTCCTGTGGGCCAGCGTCGCGTGGGCCGCACCGCGGGCCGCCGCGGGCTCGCGCACGCAC